CCCTAAACCCTAAACCAAGAGCCTTTGTATGTCCCCAACCTGCAACCTAAGTCCCAAGCTTTCAGCCCAGACACCTTGAGGTTGACTCTAGTTTTCTCAGATGAGTTCAACGTACCAGGCCAGGGTTTAGGGGGGTTGGGGATTTAGGGTTGTACGGGGTTAGGGCTTAGGATTTAGGATTGAGGGTGTAGGTGCTGTTTCTTGTGCAGGTCGTGGCAGAACCCTGCCCCCGAAAATCGAAACTGAAAACCCACATACCTTCCTTCTGTTTACGAGAACTGCATCTTTTGTGAACCCAACAAAGGTGGTGGGGAGGGGTCTACTTTGAGAGACCCTGGACTTAGTCAATTTACCATATCCGCCTACTAAGCCCCTTAAACTCATACTTTAAATCACTTTAAGTAGGTTCCCTAATCGCCCTAACCTGTTAGTAACTCCAGGGTCTCTCAAGTAGGAAGTAGGAGGATTTCCTGGACCTCGGAGGGCTTGGCCGAGATTGCTTCATCCCAATCTAACCCTGCTTGGGCCGACAGAAACCCTGAGGCCTACAAAGCTTGTCCACCATGATCCCCAAGCTCCAAGCCCAAACCTTGGAAGATGACTCGGCAAATGCAGACAACCAAATGGGAACTCCAAACCTACATCCCGGAAAATATGTGGACTCCCTGGTTTGCCCACGAATAGGATCCGTGGTTTTACGTGTGGCGCGGCCAGCTACTAGACAGTTGATCCTTTCTTTCTGCTTTCCCCACTGCTGAAGCCTTTCCTGCACCCCTCGGAGTGCAGCCGCAACCAACAGGCTTTGGGGTTTAGGGTTGGAGTCCTCAACAATGAACCCTAGCCCCCAGCAAGAAGCAGGCCGCACTTTTGCAGATGGCCATGATCCTGCTTGGACCGCGATCACAGGCGTGACTTAGGGTTTGGGGTTCAGGGCTCAGGATTTATAAGCTCTAAAAAACCCTGAACCCTAAAACCTAAGACCTAAACCCTGAATCCTAAAGCCTAAGCCCTAAACCCAAAATTCATTTCCTTTGCTGGGATGATGAGTGAGGGCTAGGGTTGGATCGTGCCGGAACGGCATCTTTGAGGATTTCATGCCTTGGAGAAAAGGTCCGAGAAAAAAGAATTCTAAACCCGAATCCAGCTTCCAGCTCTATAGGCCTACCCAGAGCCCTGGGAGGATGTATCAATTAGATCCCCTATATGAGCCATAATCTAAAC